AGAGGCGAGAGGTGGGCAAGCAGAAGAGGCACTCAGCCAGCCGCACAAGCTGCGTGCAAAGAAACTCCCGCAGCCCCAAGCTTCCGGGCTGTCTCGTTAAAGGAGTGCGGAGGCCAGACTCCAAATGAGAAAAAGCAAGCTCAGGGTTCGGCCCCATTATATCCTATGGGCCATTGACATCAATGGCGAAAACACAGGGTATATTCTGGGGGCTGGAGGAGAGGGGGTTTGAGGGAGAGGCTCCAGAATCGCAGGGTAGCTGCTGGAGCCTCTCCTCAAGACACCCGCCATGTTTCAGGAACATTGAACCAGGGGGTCCAATTCTACGGGGCCCCAAACAGGTTGCCCCTATCCCCTCCATTGTTCTCTATGGTGGGGAAAAAGTATGTCAACTGAAAGTGGGCAGCTGCGGTCAAGTAGAGTTGCCACCCTCCAGGCGGTGGCTGGAGATCTCCCAGAATCACAACTGATCTCCAGGTGGCAGAGATCAGTCCTTCTGGAGAAAATGTCTGCTTTGGAGGGTGGACTCTACAGAATTATACCCTGAGACCCCTCCCCTCCCCAAACCCTGCCCTTTCCAGGTTCCATGTGCAAAATCTCCAGGAATTTCCCAGCCCAGAGCTGGCAACCCTAAATCAGTGTTGAACAATCTGATGTAAGACCCCCTGCTGTATCAAGCTTCCTGTTCTCTATATTGTATACCCTCCTGTGGCTTCTTGAAAACAGCCTTTCACTGGAGGAAAACAAGGAATGAGATCCTTTTTTGGGGGGGAGAGGAAAAATAGTTCTGACAGGCTGCATTCACCCCAAAGGCCTTTCATCGTCTTATCCTCTTCCAGAAGATCCCTGTTCAAACAGACATTCAAACCTTTTACATAGAGAAAAGCGACGAGACAGACCCAGTCGAACTGAGAAGCATTTAAGAACCACTTTCACTCGCCTCCCTAGCTGCCGAACTGCTTGCGTGTGAGTCCTTGTACCGCCCACATCCCCACCTGCAGCTTCCAAGTAGAGGCAGGCTGCATTCACCCCAAAGCCCTTTCATTGTCTTATCCTCTTTCAGAAGATCCCTGTTCAAACAGACATTCATACCTTTTACATAGAGAAAAGCGACGAGACAGACCCAGTCGAACTGAGAAGCATTTAAGAACCACTTTCACTCGCCTCCCCAGCTGCCGAACTGCTTGCGTGTGAGTCCTTGTACCGCCCACATCCCCACCTGCAGCTTCCAAGTAGAGGCCCTCCCAGCTCCACACACTGCCCAGCACAATTGTGGGAGAGTGTCCGAGCACTAGAAAGGCTGGCAAACAAAGTGTACACAGGTGGGTGGTGTGGGAGGAGAGTGCATGCAGGTGGGCAGGTAGGTGAGAGTGGCGTGAGGAGGAGGGGAAGAGAGGGGGTCCCCCAAGAACTCCCTGCCTGGAGCTGGCTCTGAAGGGCCCATCTAGTTCAGCATCCTGCACTGGCCAACAAGATGCCCCTTGGAAGCCCCCCCCCCCCCAAGCAGGAAAGAAAAGAAAAGCAGCAGCCTTCTTCAGAAATTGCCTCCGGGGAGTGGTGTTCCAAGGCATGAGCCTCTCTGAAGTCAGACGCTCCCTTTTACCCATGATGTAGGGTTGCAAGGTCCCTTCTGACCACTGGAGGGGAATGGACGGGGGGGGTAGGGTTGCCAGCTCCAGGTTGGGAAATTCCTGGAGATTTGGGGATGGAGCCTGGGGAGGACAGGGACCTCAGTGGGGTACAATGCCACAGAGTCCACCCTCCAAAGTTGCCATTCTGTCCAGGGCAACTGATCTCTGTAGTCTAGAGATGAGCTGTAATTCCGGGGGATCCCCAGGTCCCACCTGGAGGCTGGCATCCCTAAGTGTATTCTGAATATTCTGTGATGACTTTCATGCCTTAGCCAGTGTTTGATAATAACTGACACCCAAGATGAAGTGAGTTCAAAACAGACCTCTAGCACCTCCACCGCTGGGCACACTAGCACATGCCGTTAAAAGTATCCTTCTAAGAACACCCTGGGTGAAGAACTTCCAGAGCTTCTCTTAAGAATGTCGTGAGCAGCTGTGGAGCATCCTGCAGGTCAATGGTGTACTCACAGGCCCCCCACTCCCCCAAACTTTGAAAGAATGGATAAACTGGGATTTGAAAACATGCCAGGATAGTAACATTCACTGGATTTACAAAGATCTGAATTGGCTTTCAATCACTTTATGATCTGAAAGTGTATTTTGGATACGAAGAAGAA